TGTTTAACAAATTAAAGCTCGAAATCTTGTACCAGGAGATATTGTTGAAGTAACTGTTGGAGATAAAGTTCCAGCTGATATACGTATAACAACAATTTAACAACACTTCGTGTTGATCAGTCATTATTAACTGGTGAAAGTGTTTCAGTTATTAAACATACAAATCCAATATTTGATCTACGTGTTGTTAATCAAGATAAAAACAAAATATTCTTTTTTCTGTATGATAATAAACTTGCAAATATTTATATAATTAATGTGCACAAATAAATTTTAGGGAACAAATATTGGAGCTGGTAAATGTCGAGGTATTGTTATTGGAACTAGTTTAAATACTGAAATTGGTAAGAAATATCAATAAAGTCTCATTGTCATATATGAACTATTTCCTTATTGCATTTTTGGACGATTAAATAAAATGATGATGAAGAAATATATCCTAAAATAGATAGAATAAAACAATCTTCTTGTGATTAGCAGAAGCAACTACATCGTCTTTTTTATTTTAATCCTTCAGGGATTATGCTAACAGGTTTTTTTATAGACAATTATTAAGAAGAAGAATTAATAAAGTATTCATCATAACCTGGAGATCGTGGGTGGTAGAACAGTATTTTTCGATCTTGAAAATAATCCATATCCTTAATTATGTCATTAGAAGTTTTTGTCAGAATTTTCAGAATATATTCATTGATAAATTGCTTAGAATAATGTATTTCAATTGTTTGCTTGTTTAGGAAAAATTCGATCGATTATGACCGAAACTGAAGAAGAAAAAACATCATTACAACAAAAATTAGATGAATTTGGTGAACAATTATCAATAGTATGTGTTATTTATCAACAAATAATCATAAAAATTTTCTTTTAAGGTTATTTCTATTATTTGTGTTGCTGTATGGGCTATTAATATTGGTCATTTTAATGATCCTGTACATGGTGGTTCATGATTACATGGTGCAATCTATTATTTTAAAATTGCTGTTGCACTTGGTTTGATTATTTTATTTTATTGTTTAAATTTTATTAATGATTTTTTTTATAGCTGTAGCTGCCATTCTTGAAGATTTACCAGCTGTTATAACAACTTGTCTTGCATTAGGAACATGTCGAATGACAAAAAAGAATGCAATTGTACGTTCATTATCTTCAGTTGAAACACTTGGTTGTACATCAGTTATTTGTTCGGATAAAATAGAAACATTAACAACTAATCAAATGTCTGTTTGTCGAGTAAGTTTTTATTTTTTGTTTTGACATTTCAAAAAAAAAAAAATATTCTATTTATATTAGATGTTTATATTCAGTAAAGCTGATGATAATAATATACAAATCGATCAATTTGAAGTAACTGGATCAATTTATGAACCAAAAGGTGATATTATATATAATGGAACAAAATTTAATTGTTCTCATAGTAGTGGATTAGTTGAATTAACTGAATGTGCTGCTTTATGTAATGATTCAGCATTAGATTATAATGAAGTTAGTTTTTTACGTGTTTTTTTCTTGATTTCGATTTCTTAAATTTTTTTTGTTTTTGTTTTTAAATAGTCAAAAAAAGTTTTTGAAAAAGTTGATGAAGCAATAGAAACAGCATTAACTGTTCTTGTTGAAAAGATGAATGTTTTCAATACAGATAAATCACGTTTATCACCGCAAAAAATGGCTATGTCATCAAATATAATTATTCATTAAAAATATCATAAAGAATTTACATTAAAATTTTCACGTGATCGAAAATCAATGTCAACATATGTTGTTACTGCTAGTAGAGGTGCTAGTCATACTCAACAAACAGCTAAAATGTTTGTTAAAGGTACACCAGAATCTTTTATTGAATGTCTACTTGTCGCTTTAAACTATGATGATAGCAGCAGGGGATAATTGGTTCAAACACGATCTTATAATGATTGGTAGTCATCATCGTATGTATATATAGATATATACATAAGTGTATTTTCTTTGTTTCTATATATCATTTGTTGCATCAAATCTTTTCATATTCATCATGTCATTAAGTGCTGACTCCGATACCAACGTAACCTCAACAACAGATGAAAAACATCACATTCTTTTGGTATATATTGTTACAGAGAACGGTGCATATGAAGGTGCTTATGTTGAACACAACTTGGAACTGATAGATGAGGCTGCTGGTTCATCATTCCAGACCATGATAGATAATAAACAAGAAATAATGAAATTAGTTCATCAATATGGAACAGAACGAGATACATTATGTTGTTTAGCATTAGGAATTATTGATAATCCATTAAAACGAGGAGATATGGATTTAGAAGATTCAAGTAAATTTATTGCTTATGAAGTAAGATTATATTTCATAATTGATTATAATTAAAAAGAAAAAATCATTTCTTGGTATATAGAATAATATAACATTTGTTGGTGTTGTTGATATGCTTGATCCACCACGTGCAGAAGTTATTGATGCTATAGATCGATGTCGTGATGCTGGTATACGTATTATTATGATTACTGGTGATAGTAAGAATACAGCTGAAGCTATTTGTCAACGTATTGATATCTTTCAAGAATTGGAAAATATACAAGGTAAGACAATTTTAATATATATATCAAATATAAATGATTGTTATTTTTATTTTTGCAGGCAAAGCATTTAGTGGTCGAGAATTTGATGATCTTTCAACAGAAGAACAATCTAAAGCTTGTCATCATGCTAAAATGTTTGCTCGTATTGATCCAACACATAAATCAAAAATTGTTGAATATTTACAATCTCATGGTGAAATAACAGCTATGACAAGTGATGGTATTAATGATGCACCTACATTAAAAAAAAGCTGAAATTGGTATTGCTATGGGTTCTGGTACAGCTGTAGCTAAAACAGCTGCTAATATGGTTTTAGCTGATGATAATTTTTCTTCAGTCGTTGCTGCTGTTGAAGAAGGTCGAGCTATTTATAATAATATGAAACAATTTATTTGTTATTTAAGTTCATCAAATATTGGAGAGGTAATTTTAATGAATTTAGGAAACAAAATAGAAATAATAATAATAACTTTATAATAATTTAGGTCGTTTGTATTTTTTTGACTGCTGCTCTTGGTTTACCCGAATCATTGATTCCTGTTCAATTACTTTGGGTTAATTTAGTAACTGATGGTTTACCAGCAACAGCACTTGGTTTTAATCCACCTGATTTGGATATTATAGAATGTCCACCACGTAATCCAAAAGAATCATTAATTACACCATGGCTATTCTTTCGATATATGGCTATCGGAAGTAAATTAACTTTTTCGAAAATTTGAATTTTTTTTTCTATGTTCTCATTTTCGAATAGGTTATTTTGGTTTTGATATAGTATGAAGTACAACATGGTGGTCAATGCATGCATCTAATGGTCCAAAACTTTCCTATTGGCATTTGGTATGTATTTGTTTTTACATCATTTTATAAAATATATTGAATTTTATCGAAAGGATTTTTATAATCGAATAAGTAGAATTGGTAAGATAGACCACAAGTTAATAAGCATGAAAGAGTTTTTTTTTTTTTTTTTTTTAAATAACATTGGAAAAGAGGAATCTTATTTACTAACTGATGATAAATAAAGTTGAGGCAAAAAATTCAATTTTTTAGGTCTATGGAATAATGACTATTGTTTGGTGAACATGGGTCATGAAGAGCTCGGTGGTATCAAAATATTCCCATTATCAGATGAATCTATCCGAAAAATAGATTTTTTTCGAGTCTTCGTTTTCTAGAGATTTCAGAAATATTTTACCTGGTAGAAAACTATTTCTGTTAATCAAAGCTTTCCTTTGACTTAGTTTTAAAACGCATATAGTCTATGCTTTTATTCTAACAGCATGTATTTAATGATTATCCTGTGTTTGATGTAAATATCTGAAATTTGTATTGTTTTTGTGTAGCAAAATCATTTCAAATGTCGTTCTGGTGGTAAAGAATCTGAAAATATAAATTGTTCAATATTCGATGATCCACATCCAATGACAATGGCTCTATCAGTACTTCTTACTATTGAAATGTGCAATGCACTTAATAGGTTATTATTGGAATGAATATATTTTCAAAAAAACAAAAAAGAATGATTTTATTTTAGTTCATCTGAAAATCAATCTCTTCTTAAAATGCCACCATGGAAGAATAAATATCTTTTATATGCTATTGCTTTATCTATGTCATTACATATGATGATTCTTTATATTCCTATGTTTAATGTAAGTTTTATTTGACTTTTTTGTTTTTCATATATATTATATATAATTAAAATAATTTTTGTTTTAGATTGTATTTCAAATTTGTCCACTTTCATTAGAAGAATGGTTAGCTGTAATTAAAATTTCTCTACCAGTTATATTATTAGATGAATTACTTAAATTTATTGCACGACGATATATTAATCGTAAGAATTTCAAATTTATTTATGAATAAAATATGTTTTTTATTTTTAGATAGTTTGAAATCTAAACAAACATTACATAGTATGATGTCATCATTTGATATATCATTATTTAAGAATAATTTGCCTACAGTTGATAAAATTTATGGTCATGAAACAACGCATATTGAATGAAGAAGAAAATTTTTTATTTCTGAAATTGAAATACTCAATTTTATGAAACAAATAATGACAAAATATTCATCGTGTATTGTAAACTAAATAAGAATGCATTTAGTTTTTTTTTCCTTTATATGCAGTTTAATGTTTTTTTTTCTCATATATAAAATACTTACTTAGTCATGATATAATTATTCAAGTATAACAAATATTGATAAATACAATACGGACAAATACTAAACAAGTTTTTTTTTCGCTAACCTTTTAGATCAATATTCAAAGATTAGTTTTGATGTATTTATATTGATAGTATTGATTTTTAGTGTCAATGAATTTATTAGTCATTTTGTGTGAGACTGCTAGTTAGTATATTTTAGTATATTCAATATTGTATTGGCATCGTTGAATTGATTTTTATGATCATGATTTATTTTTGTTTTTGAACAAGAAGAGATAATCCTTGACTAAAAAATTGTATGTACAAAAATAATTACAATTCAACTAAACAATAAAAAATGAACATAAATATATATCAGATTATTTTCCATTATTTATCTTAATTAGATCATTTCTAATCAAAATCAATTCTACCATATTGATATGTTGGTTGATTTTTATATAAAGCATCCATCCACTCTTTCATAATTAATGGTGAATCAATTATAGCATTAATTTCTTAAATATAACAAAAAAATAATTTATTTTGAATAAAAGAAATAAAATAATCGAAAAGTTCTTTAACTTGAGAATGAAACCAAGATTGACTATCCATATTACCATTACTTATAATAACAACTTGATCATCAATAGACATAAATTTAATATGACAATTTTGTCTTTTATAAGAAAAATGAAGAGGATGTGTTTGATCTACATTAATTTCGTAAAAAAATTATAAGATATATGCTTTCGTTTTTTTTTTTTTTTTTTTTTTTTTGTAAATATACCTTTTCCAGTATACCAATATACTTGAAGATATTTTTCTGCACCATCATTTCCATGTCTTAATTTTTTATAAAGTTTTTTTTACGACATGTTCATTTGTTCCATCTTGAAGTGTTTCAAATCCTACAGTTAAATTATTAAAACCTAAACTAAGCCATAATGTTACCATTGTTCTACGTTTACATGCAATTATTATTCCATTAATAGCTGGTGATGCATTTAATGTAGGTGATTGAATAAATATAGATTTTTTTGTATAACGAAATGCTCCTATCCATGCAGCATCTTGTGGATTAGCTATATCGATATGTCCAGGTTTACGATATGGTAAACGATTGACTAAAGCTATTGAAAATAGTTTATGTTTTTGGTGAAAAATAAATGGAGAAAAATCACATGCTAATTTGTCTAATTCAATATCAGATGAATTTCTCGCTGGTTGTGTTTCACGAGCAGATTTTGCTGATTCATTTAAATGATGTGTCAGTGATATATCTGAACGAGAATTCATGTTATATTCAATGACAGCATTAGTTTGATCATTTGTTGGTTTAATAAGAACAATAAAAAATTCTTCAAATATTACATAAGCATTTCATCATCATCATCATCATCATGTCCCATAGGCTTAGCGCCCGTTGGGGCCAACCATTTTTACGGGATCAGATTTTTCCACGCCTGTCGGTCTTGTGCGAGGTGGAACAGCTCTTGTCC